ACTTCTGGGTAGACTTGAACTTCCAGCTTTTCAGTTAACATCAAGTGCATTAACAGTTTATACCACTCAGGGACTTAAAGACTATGTCAGAATCTCCCTAATTTTTCTCGCATGGTACTGTGGACATATCTTCATAGCACTTTTCACATAATTATATAATTTTTTTTTTTTTTAATCGTTTGGCAAACATTTGAGTACTAAGAGGTGCTAGGTATTATTCTGGGTATATATATATATATCCTTATGGAACCACACTGCCTCATTTTTCTCCTGCAGAGTGGCTGGTTGGTTTGAACTACCAACCTTTTGGTTAGTCACTGAATGCCTTAACCACTACACCTCAGGCTCCTTAGGCAGAGGAATATTGTGTGCAAAAGCCTTAAGTCAGGAGTGAGACTGGTGTGTTGAGGAGAAGCAAGGAGACTAGTGTGGCTGGAGCAGACTGGGCAAAGAAGAGATGAGGGAGCAAGGCAATGGGGTCAGATTATGTAGGACCTGTTGGACCAGTGTAAGGATTGTGCTTTTTTTACATCAGTGAAATACACAGCTTTTGCAGGGTTTTAAGTGTTTGTACTTCTGTTTTTCTAGGCTCTTCTTCTAGAAGCTAGGATCACTCTAGCTTCTCTGTTGTGAATAGAGAGATCAACTTTGGGAGACTGTTGCTGTAATCCAGGCAAGAGATAGATAATGGTGGCTCAGATCAGTGTGGCAGTGGAGGTGGTAAATATTGGTCAATTTCTGGAGCTATTTTGACAAGGAACAAAAGCATTTCATGATGGGTTGGAGGTAGATGTAAGCAAGAGATGAATCAAGGATAACTCCTACATTTTTGGCCAGAGCAACTGGATAGACTACATTACCATAAATCAAGACAGATTGGGTGAAGCAGATTTAGAGGGTAAGATCAGGAGTTCGATTTTGGACATACAAACAGTGATATATCTATTAGGTATCCACTTTGAGATGCTAAGAAGGCAGTTATATATCCAAGTGTGGATTTAATCTAGAGGTATAAATTCGGAAGTTATTATGTGAATGTTATAGAAAATCTTGAGACTGGATAAGATCATCAAAGGAATGAGTGTTGATGGAGAAGAGGACAAAGAACTGATGTCTGGGCTACTCCTAAGAGGTTAGGAAGAAAAGAAACCAGTAAGGTAGGAGGGAAAACTAAGAGAGTTAAGACTTGGAAACCAAGGAAGGAGAGTATTTATAATAAGGAAGAGGGATTGAGTTAGCTGTGTGAGATATGGCTGATCAAGTAATATGAGCTCTAAGGGTGAATCATGGGTTTTAGCAATGTGAAGGTCACTGCCTGATGAATTATTTTGGTGATTATTTGACTAAAATCTCTATTCTACCATACTACAGGTTCCTTGAGACAAGGGACCCAGTTTGTTATTTCTCACCATTATATCTCCAAACTTAGCATAATTCTTGGCATGAATAAATGAGTAGATAGGTCCCAGAATCTCTTGGAGAGCTGGAGAACTGGGTTCAGAAGTTATTGAGGCCAGGAACAATGCCTCAAATCAAATCATATTCATCTCTAAAACATATGAGCAATTTTATTTTTATTTTTTGGTATAACCATAATGTCATTATCACAGCAAATAAGTCTAATAATATGGAAGAAACATTTGAACCAAGACTTGAAAGAGATGAAGAAGTTAACCATCAGCTAGGGGAAGAGAGTTCACACAGAGGAAATACATGTTGCAAAGGTCCTAGGACTGGAGCATGCCTGGCATATTTGAGGAGCCTTCAGGAAGTCATTGTGACTGAAGCATAGTGACTGAGGGAAGGGTGGTAAGAGATGAGGTTTTGTAGTCTAATGAAAGAACTTTGGTTTTACTTTGAATTAAATGGGGAGCCATTGCAGGATTTTGAGCAGAGGAGTGACAGGATAAAATTTATGTTTAAAAGGGTCACTCTGAGTGCTTTGTTGAGAATATGCTTGGGGAAATAAGATAAGGAGCTGGGAGCCCAGTTAGGCTATTGTTACATTAAAAGGTGTGTTTTTGATTAGTGATTCATTCCAGGTAGGAGAAGTGGAGATGGGAAGAAGCTGTTGGATTTTGTTTTGACAGTAGAGTTAACAGGATTTCCTGATGGATTGGTTGTGGCTTGAGAGAGAAAGCAAGCATGAAGAAAATACAGATTTTTGACCCAGGGCACTGGAAGGATAGTACATCTGGGTAGCACAATCAGGAGTCCAGTCTTGGAAATATAGAATTTGAGACATTTGTTAAATCTACAAGTGGGATACTCAGTTGGATATTTAAGGCTAGAGTTTGGGGGAGAGGTAGCAGAAAGGATGGTGTGTATGAATAGTGGTTTGTGCCATAAACAGCCAGGTGGAGAGGGGTGGATGTTCATAAATTACTGATTGACTGTTGAGTGTTGATAATTTAGAACTTTTGTTAATTCATTAGGACTACTCTTTCAGAAAGAGATAGCTCAATGAAGTTTGCAGTTATATTTTCTATTTTCCTTAGATCATTCTTTCTGGGTAGGTAAGAATGAATAAACTAGGTGAGAGATAAAGTAGTGAACTCTGTGTCTCTTTTGTTATTGTTAAGCGTTGTTCAGATGGAAATTATTCATCTTCTCTGGGATCATTAGAGGCTGGCCTAGAGTACTTTGGAAGAACTGACTGATTAACATGTTCAGAGACATTCAGAAATCTGACTAGAAAATAGTCTGAGATAGGTCACTTTTCTGGTAACTTCCGAGTGATCCTTGAACACTCTAACTGGAATGTTACTACCACCTGCTCCTTCTTCCTCTGATACGAACTCACTAAAATTTAGGTTAATGACATAGCTCTATTATTTCTAATGTTTTCTAAGCATGAAATATCTTGGAAACTTATTTGTCAGTCTCATCTTTTTCTTTCTACTTGTGGTCCCCCTAAAGAGAAATTTCATCCTGAGTAACCAGGTGGTTGTTACTCGGGGTGCATGCTGTAGAAAGGATATTGTCAACACAGATGCTTTCGGTAGCTTTGTGTGGTGCAGACTGATTGTGTCTGCTTTTATTTCTCGTTTTTAAAAGGGAACATACCTAATTCCCCTTTTGGATCATTGGAGTTGTGATTATATGTCTTGGAGTTATGTGGAAGATTGACACACAAACCTGGAGGCTGGCTATGGTTCCAACTGTTGGAGCAGTGGGTTCTGTGTGGCTAATTTAAAACAACTATAGATGTTCAGAGGAGGAACCTTCCTCTGCTTGTGTGATTGAATCAGCCATGCAGTCTGGATTCCCTAATGTACAGGGGAAGGTTGGGCAGTGCTAAAGAGTCAGGGAGGCCACGTCTTCAGACCTCTTCTAACCACACAAGAGGAAGACAGAATCACCATCAGTAGCCTAAGGCCTATTCCTGTGAGGCCAGACATGCTGCCTCCCTCCAGCTCTTTCACCAACCCTGACACCAATCATTCCTCCCACAGCACTTACCACCTTTCTGCAGGGTTCGATACTTCACTGCAGTGGCCGCACAGAACTCACAGATTATGGGGTTTGTTAGGAAAGCACCAGGCTACGATTCAAGTTCAGGAAAAACGCTCAGTCTCTCTCAGCCTGCTGTCTCTTAGCCAACAGTCTCTCACAGTCTCTCTCCCAGCAATGTGTGTCTCTCGGTGTCTCTCTCAGCAATGCATGTCTCTTGCGTCTCTTTCCCAGCAGCACGTGTCTCTCAGGAGCACGTTCTTCTCAGCCAGCAGTCAGAGAGAGATTTCTGCCTCTAGGAGGCCTCCTTTTGAGCCTGGCAGAATGGCCAAACTAGCCAATCATAACACTAGAATTCTAAGCACCTGAGAGAGAGTGAACTTCCCAGAACTTGCTTTGTGCCCCTCCCAATAGAAATACCCCAGATGGATAACTTTTACAATCAGGAGCTCCTCAGTTGCTCACAGCAAATTCTACCACAGAGGTTACAAAGACGTATGGCTAGAAAAGCCATACCAAGTAATTTACTACACTGCAGACAGACAGAAAGAGGTCAGAGGGTCTCAGAAGGCTGGTGTCTTAGGTATCTAGTGCTATTGTAATAGAAATACCACAAGTCTGTGGCTTTAACAAACAGAAACTTATTTTCTCACCATTTAGGAGGCTACAAGCCTGAATTCAGGGTTTAGGCTCTAAAGGAAGGCTGTATCTCTCAGTTGGCTCTGGAGGAAGGTCCTTGTCCCTTCTAGTCTTCTGCTCCTGCGCAGTCATCATGTGGCTTGTTGGCATCTCTCTTCCCTCATGTCTGCTTCTTTCAATTGCTTGTATAATCTCTCTCTCTCTTTTTAATCACAAAAGATACTTATTTAGTGTTTAAGGCACTTGACTGCTAACTAGAAGGCTGGCAGTTCAAACCCATCAGCCACTCCTCAGAAGGAAGATTGGGCAATCTACTTACGTAGTGATACCGTCTCAGAAAACCAAGGAGGGGTGGCTATGAGTCACTTGATAGCAGTGAGTTTTTTTATAGATACATAGTAGACAGGCAAGAAGGTCAGGTATGGGTATGCAGATGGGAATATACCCGTGACCATACATAGATGTGGCAGATGATATTCCTACATACATATTTGTATGTGCTGTAAAATTTACCATATGCGTTACAGAGCTAATGGGACAAAGTTAGGATAACTTCTTAGCTACAACTAAGCACTTTGAGGGAGTGAGTTGCTGGGTCTGTGGGCTCGAGATCATGGTTACGGCAGACATTAGGGTCGTTTGGCATAACATAGTACACAACAACATTGTTCTACATCCTATATTAATCCCATCTTATTAATATAATAAAGACAACCCATGTCAAATGAGGTTATTACCATAGGCATAGAGGTTAGGATTTACAACATACATTTTTGGGGAACATAATTGAATCCATAACAGCTGGGGAAATCATCTTTTGTACAAAACTGCTCTCTGTCCCCTCTCCTTTTAACATAATGAGAGTGAGAAGAAGGGCAGTTAACTCTGTTTTTGTTTCTCTTTTATAGGAGATGCATCGGAGATTTGAAAATGCACCTGATTCTGCCAAAACTAAAGCTCTGCAAACAGTTATTGAAATGAAGGTAAGTGAGAGTCAATAAACACTGTTATGAGTCAGTTGACATTTTTAAGTGATTAGTATTTCATCTGTGAGTGTTAGAAAATGATGTACAATAAAATCTCATTTGTTTTATAGATTGAGAAGAAATAGTCAGAATTAATAAATATTACATTCTTTTAAAGAACCTCAATTTCCTTTGAGTTATAAATCACAACTCAAATTGGATACAAAAAGGTTATCCAGAATTTGTTTAAATGAGTTGTTCTTAAAATTTATCTCATATTCTACTCTCATAAAATGACAAGAAAATGAAAGCTCGTTTCTTTCATTTTCAGGCAAATGACTGCCAAATACCAAGACTCAATAACCATAGTTTGTCAGTTATTCTTCCAACCAAAAATAATGTTCTGTTAAAAAAAACAGCTAATTCAGGTCACAAGTCAAAGAAACAAAGTGCTTTTCTTAGGGACAGCCAATGGACTTCAGTGCACAGCAGAAGTGCTTCTTCCCTATTTCCCATTGGTCACACAGAATGTTAAAAAGATGTGTACACAAGGGCTGAGATTCATTTAAAGTAATAATTTTTACTGCTCCACCCAGGATATTATTTTTTTTTTAAATTTAAGTTATTTATAAAATTTTTTTTCACCAAGAACATTTTTCAGTGAAGCAGTTTTTTAAAAAATTTATTTTTAAGTTTTAATATTTTTTTTCCGTGAGAGCCTGACAGTGAATAATACAATAATGTCTAGTGTGGTGTGGTGCCATTGCCTTGATTTGTGCTAAGGCATTAATTACTTTTATATCTTTAGTGCAAATGTCAACCCAGTGGAAAAGGTGCATACTGTCATAGTCTTATTATGGAGCTAAGTTTGACCACATGCTTCTTGAAAGGATCTCAGGGACCCAAGAAGACTGTACCTTGAAAACCTCTGCTTTAAGTTAATGAATGGGTTACAAATCTTTAGGCTATACAGGGTGGTGAGTAAGAGTTTGCCTTCTAGAGTTAAACTTTCTAGATTCAAAATCTGGCTTCACTTAATCAATTGTATGACATAGAGCAAGTTCCCTAGCCTCTCTATGCCTCAGTTTTCTTTATCGATAAAATGGCAATAATAATAGTACTCATCCCATGGATTGTTTTAAGATTTAAATGGTCAAACCATGTAAAACACGTTGTAAACATTCAGTAAATGTTAGCTGTTGTTAATTTTGTTAATAACATGTTCTTTCTTAGAAAGGTAAAGAGATGCCACCCACCCATCCCCTTTTTGTTTTTACTTCTCTACCTCCCCTACAAAGCTCGACAGTGCATTTGCATTGTGAGTCTTTATTTAATATTTGTTTAATATTTGTTAATATGACACACATATTTAGTTACTGGTATATAAATACTTTTATGTAAGTAAATGTGCAAGTAAACAAAACTCAAGTACAGGTACATTGATGAAAACTATTCTTTAAATTTGAACTGTTTCCTCTTGAAACCTTGTCTGTATTGTGTACATTTTCATTGTCAGTGGACAAAGGATTTATCAAACAAATTCCAAAGCAGTGGATTCTGGGTTCTTTGTTGTTAGGTAATTAGTAGTCTTGAAAATAATCTTGTAAAGAGCCCTTAAAAGAGTTTAATTGCATGGTTTGAACTTATTCACATTTCCCACCAGTTTACTTATATATGTTACTATTTTCCATTGTGCCATCAGAGCTTCTTTATTTGCAGATTAGTCACAAGCATATGCCTAGTATTTTAGTCATGCTGGAGAGACTGCATCATGATATTTCCACAAAGATTTATAGTTATCTTAAAAGTCAATTCTCAGATAGTGTGTTTGAGGTAGTTTACTCTTTATGGGCCAGGAGATTGTATGAGGCCCACTAATTTTAAATGATGAATCAATATCCTGGTTTGGTTTTATGATGTATCAGATTGTATTATTTAGGTACATTTAATTTTGAACATAATGTAAGTTTATGTTTAGGTTCATGTTGCAAAGTTTCATTTGCATAGATTTGTAATGGAAAATTTTTGTTATGATACATTTAAAGGTAATGCAGTAAGCAACCAGAGGAGTACATTTCCCTCTCCTCCCCTGGACCTGAACATAATGAGTTGTAGTTGTCTTTTATCTAAGTGCTCTAGGAAATCTGATAGCAAAGGAAGTCAGTGAAGAATTCATTGAGGATAAAGTAGAAAAGGAAGTCATTCTCAGAACTTTATAAACCCCCTAAAGGAATGGTTTCCCTGAAAGTCTAAAATAAAGCTGTATTGAAGTTACGCTTTTTAAGGTCTCTTTCTTAGGTGAGTTAGCATACACATTTATAGACAGAAACCTGTTGGGTCTTTGTAGGAGTTTTTCTTAATTGATGACATCTAAAGCAATCTTAGTGATAAACTAGTACTGTGAACAAGAAGATTAAGACATTCCGCATAGAAAGAAGTTCTACTAGGAGGTCATTTTGGTAATGATGATGATTTACAAGGACAGTGATATTTAAAAAATTACTGTAAAGTATAGAGAATAAGTAAGATTTCCAACAAAAAAATGTGATTGTTAATATAATTGCTTTTGATTTTCTTCAGCGGGCATGTTATAAAATTTTTATTATTATAAAGATGGTCTTTGTTTGAATCTCTCATTTTCCCCTTCTCTTTTTGGGCAGAAGTATACCTTGTAAGGGAGCTCTGGTAGTGTAGTGCCTAACGCACTTGACTGCTAACCAGAAGGCTGGTGGTTCAAACCCACCAGCCACTTCTCTGAAGGAAGGTTGGGGAGTCTATTTCTGTAGTGTTACTGCCTCGGAAACCCAACGAGGGGTTGCTATGAGTAGGGTCCGACTCGATGGCACATAACAACAACAACAACAACATACCTTGTAAAAGGTCACTAAGTAAAATGATGTCATAGTAGAGCTAAAAAAGGCTTTAGTGGTAATTTTATAATTTTTTTTTAAGACTAGAAATTTGTTGACCAAAAAGTATAAAGGAAACTTAACCAGTTTCTGTTGCATCTACTTCTTAGGTAATTCTCTAAACCTTATTGGAAGAAGAGATAGAGGAAAAATCATAATGGGATATAAGATTTCTCCTCCGTCTATCCAAATGGCCATAAATGATGTGTTTTAGAAGCAAGGCATCAATGTCAGACAGCAATTTTCTGCATATTTATTTGCCTTTATTGAATTTAACATCTTTACTTACAGCTTTTTCAACATCTTTGAGTTTTTGTGAACACTTTAATATCTAAATATTCTGTTGTTGTCAGGATTCAAAAATTTCTTCTATGGAACGTGGGCTCCGAGACTTGGAAGAGGAAATTCAGATGCTAAAATCTAATGGGGCTTTGAGCACTGAAGAACGGGAGGAAGAAATGAAGCAAATGGAGGTGTATCGGAGCCATTCTAAATTTATGAAAAATAAGGTAATAGTGCATGACTCTGTAGTTCTTAAAGGGGTTATGAAAATGGATGCATATTCCCTGCTGAGTGAGGATGGAGATCTGCTTCCATTGCTTTATCAGACTTCAGGGAAGAATACTTCCAACACAGTTTTTTCAAGTGGAACTCCTAGAATTAAAGTCAGATTTGCTGTCATTGTATATTTATTAAGAATTTTTGTGTAAAAGAAAATTACCTGTATGAAGCTAACTATGTATTATCATAGTTTAACATTTAATATTTGTCAGTACCTTTAGATGATTTAGTAAAATTATAACTAGATGAAGTTCTTTTTTTTTTTTAACTTGTATAAGGTGCTCTAATTCTTGTGAAGTATTTTAAAAATCCAAATCCAAAGAAACTGAACCTTCTTCCCTCCTCTGTTTATATTTTTGTGAAGTGGGTTAAATAAAATCATATTTTCCCTTTAAATACCCTTTCCACAAAGGAAAACGCTATCCCTTGGAGAAGATCCATCTGCTGTCAGGTTCATTGCTTTCCACAGGGCCTGAGTACTTGCCCTTAGGTGTATCTACAGTAGAATAGGGACCACTGAGGCATATCAGTCCGTGATTATAAAACTCAGTTACAGTAGTTCTTCCTTAGCTCTACAGTCATTTACCTTGCTTCTGTATACTGTCTATAAATTGGAGAATTTATTTTATTGCAGTTATCATTTTATCAGTCTGTTGTGGCTTAATTAAAAATCATAATTATAATTATGAAATTTTAGCTAGAAAATAAGTATTTTTTTTCCTCTTCAACCCAATTGTATTGGTTTCCCAATATCTCAGAACTGAACATGGAAACATTGCTGGTAATGTCACAACTCCCTCTCTAGTCTCTGGTGTCTTACTCTGGTACCTATACCTGGCATGTAAGTCTATAGACTATTCCTATATTATTTAAGAATCTGTTATCAATGAGTTCTTTGGCCCATTTCATGTTAATCTTAGAAGTGAAAATAAATCACATATTCAACTTTCTATTAGTTTGGATCCACACCCCACCCCACCCCACCCCAACTCCCTCCAGCCAAATTTGAGAGCAGAATATACTCCAGTAAAATATTTATGCTTATGTATCCCATTTGCTGATTAACATATTCCAAGTCCATTAAAAAAAAAATCTGTAAAAGTAGAGAAATCATCTAGGGTCTTTTGGAAGAGGGAAATCAGAGGAGCAGATTTGATTGTGTTACGTAACTTATCATTTCAAGTTACTACTCTGGCTTAAAGCAGCTAATAAGAAGACCTAAGTTGACATTTAAGTGAAAAAGTGTAACAATGTCGTGACAGGTAGAGCAACTGAAGGAGGAACTAAGTTCGAAAGAGGCTCAAGGGGAGGAGCTGAAAAAGAGAGCGGCTGGTCTTCAGGCTGAGGTCTTTGCCGTAAGATTTATCTCTTTGTGTGCAGTGATCCCACATGGGTCCCTGCTAGCTCTGGTTTCTGGGTGGCTTACACTTTCATTCTCTATGGTTGGCAGCTTTGCCCAATACTAGCACTAACCAGCCTGCTCTGCTGTTTAACTGACTCCTGTTCACCGGTTTGACCTATATATCACATTGTGTGCAGTGAGCCTTCACATGTTCTCGAAGTCTGTACCTGGTTCTCTGTTGTTGCTTTTGTCACTCTATGAATGGCACTTCAAACCTTGTTTTCTGGGATCCTTTTTCTGTCACTGGATACTTGTGGATTTATGTGAATGGTGAACATTTTCTTCTTAGGTACAAGAATATGCACATGTTTCTGATGTATCACGTGTTTATTTGAATTTGAAATTCTTAAATGAAGTGCTTTACTTTCTTACATAGATCTTATAGTAAGCCCCACTCATTAAGTGATTTTGCAACAAATGTTACTTTCTTCAGAACAGATCTATAGAAAGTGATTAGCTTAGAGTTACCTAGTAAATTAGAATTAGCATGAGATTTATTAAGTCACTAAATCTAGTTTACTCTGTTGAACTTAAAATTATATTTTAAAACATAATGTAATAAAATTATCACTTGTTATAAGCATTTTATAATCTGCTGAGATTGATATATTATCAGAGTCAACTTATAAATAAGGAAACTAAGTTAACAGAGTAATGCCCACGAAAAAACAGTTTTTATGGGCAGACTATTATGAGTTTTACAGGAGCTCTGGTAGCATAGTGCCTAAGGCACTTAACTGCTAACCAGAAGGCTGGTGGTTCAAACTCCTTGAATGGAAGATTGGTCAATCAACTTCCGTTGTGATACTGCCTCGGAAACCCAAGGAAGGGTCACTATGAGTCGGTCCGACTCTATGGCACATAACAACAACGAGTTTTACACATGCAATCTGGTCCCAGAATTTGTGTTTATAAGCTCTCCATTATACTCCCCTCTACTAGGCCATGCATACGTTTGTCAGAGTGTCAGGGAAAATTGTTTCTGAAAATAATTGAGAGCTAAGACTGGAATGAAGCATTTTTTAAAATTGCTAATTTAATGTTTGCTATTAACGGACTACTTTATAATGTGGGTAAAATAAGTAAAATATTTCGTCTGAAAAGGTCTGATTGGTTTATAAGTAACCACATATTATTTGGATAAGTTGATCTGTAACTTTTCTTTTTTCTTTCTTCCCTACTGTTTATTGCACATTTCTACATTGTTTCAGACAACAGGCTAAGCACATTCCATGCATTGTTTTATTTTAATTTCTAAACAGTTCAGCAGAGTTGGTAAGATTTCTGCGTATTACTGATTAGTAAACTGCAGCATAGAGAGAAAAAGTAATTTCTCAAAGACACATAGCTGGCCCACTGTCGTTTGTGATTGACTGTAAAGTCTTATGCTTCTAACCTCTATAGTACATTGCTTCCCATTTATAGTATTCTCTCTTTTCTCAGTCTTTAAGATCAGTTTAGCATGACTTGAACCTTATTTAATAATACACATGTTCTGAAAACAGATATTTTAAGAGGTTGCTAGAAACTTAAGTAATCTTTAAGCCATAGTTCATTAGCTAAGGAAGTGATAACACTTGGAGTGTTTCTTTTGAGTATTCATTCATACAACAAATTGTGTTTTAGTGCAGTGTTAGGAATGGAATAATATTAATCTGCATTTTTTGGGGGTGATGTTGTGATATAATGAAAGGTCTCAGACCATTACAAAAAATAAAATAAGAAACCCCACAACAATCCCCAAACCAAACCCATTGCCATTAAGTCGATTCCAACTCATAGTTGACTCCCATTGGGTTTCCAAGGTAGTAAATCTTTTCAGTAGATTGCCCCATCTTTCTTCCATGGAGTGGCTGGAAGGTTTTGAACTGCCAGCCTTTTGGTTAGCAGTCAAATGCCTTAGACACTGTGCCACTAGAGCTCTTTACTATGTGTTAACTGATTAATGCATATCTGTTTTACAGAATGAAAATAGCAGCCATTCCCATTTATCTTCCATAGATGTTCTTAATATGCTCAAGTACTATGCACACAATAAATATTTTTTGAGTGAATGAATATTTGTTGAATGAATGAACAACTATAACTAGATATTTCATGTATATGAGAAAAAGTTATTGCAAGTAAGTTTTATATTTCTTCATGGAAATTGTTTTCTAAAACTTCATCTCTTATACCTCAGATTATTAAAATGAAAATACTTCAAACAAACAAACAAACCCATGCTTTTCACTGCTGTTGCTGTGTGCCATTGAGTTGATTCCAATTCATAGTGACCCTGTAGGACAGAGTAGAACTGCCGTAGTGGGTTTTGAGGTAGCACTCTTTGCAGGAGCAGATCACCAGGCCTTTTCTTCTATGGAGCCACTGGTGTGTTTGAACCACTGACCTTTTGGTTAGCAGCCAACTCCTACCAGGGCTCTTTTTCTTGACCTGTACTTTTAAAAAATTAGTCTTTCTGTTAGTGGGCAGCTGATACAATGTAAAAGAATATCTGATTTCTGTTTGACTTAAATTTAGAATAAAAGAGTATTTAAAATGTTCTTAAAAAGCACTAGAAATATAAAGGAGATAGTTGAAGTAAAGAATTTTCTAGCTTAAAAAGAGAAATTTATGGGAGGATAAATTTGGCACCTATTGATTTAAGGATTACCTTGTCAGAGGTATAAGCTTTGAATTATTCATGTCCATTCTTACAGAGTGAGATTTTATGGATTCTTTATTTAGGTCACATACTTTTATCTATTTAGTTACTATTGACATGTTATAAGTGATAGAATTTTGTAGATTCTGTTTTTCAGTTCAGTATCCATAACTCATCAAAATTATTGAATTTTTAAAAGTGCTTGTTTTAATGCCTTACAACACCAAGCATAGCTTTTAAGATAAGAATTTAATGTAGACTTTTGAAAGTTGTTGTTATGTGCTGTCGTGTCGAACCCTACTCATAGCGACCCCTCCTTGGGTTTCCGAGGCAGTATCACAACGGAAGTAGATTGCCCCATCTTTCTTCCGAGGAGTGGATGGTGGGTTTGAGCTACAAGCCTTCTGGTTAGCAGTCAAATACCTTAGGCACTGTGCTACCAGAGCGCCTGACTTTTGAAAGGGGAAAGAAAAATACTCATTGGAAAACAACAACAACAACAAAAACGCACAGCAGTAGCATCTTTAGAATTTACTTTAAATAACAGCACTAGGTGGTTTCTTTATTTCCTTTTGTCTTACAGCTACACTAATCTGGCATTTGATCCATCTTGTTCTTAAGAGGTCTGACTTAATAAAATGAAAATGGTTTTATCAGCAAGTGTGTTCAGATACTTACCGGTATTCATACCAGTAATTGAATTGGAGTTTCTCACCTCTCTGTTACTTTACTAAGGGGTTTCAAAGGCTATTTAACTGACACAATAACTGAAAATTGGAAATTTTCCTATTTGTTGAATAAACTTTGTTTGGGGGTTATATCGAAGATGAGATGATACAAGAAAAAAAAAAAAAAACAACCTGTGTTTGCTCATAAAATTAATGCTGCATTTAGTTTCATATCTTATGACAGTCGTTTCAGAGATCCAGATCAGAGGATATTGTTTCATTTTTCCTTCCTTACAATGTTTTATTTTCTTATCTAGATTGGTCAGGTGAAGCAGGAGCTGTCCAGAAAGGACACAGAACTACTAGCCCTACAGACAAAGCTAGAAACACTCACGAACCAGTTCTCAGACAGTAAACAACATATTGAAGTGCTGAAGGAGTCCCTGACTGCTAAGGAGCAAAGGGCTGCCATCCTACAGACTGAGGTAAAACAAATTCTTGAATTTGCAGCTGATTAATTCCATGTTACCTGCACTATTTCTGTTATATTTACAGCTGGAAAATATGAATGATTTTATAATTAATTTTTTAGCAATATAATCAGTTACTGTATTGAAATGTAGCCATCTTGTTTCAGTTGTTCTTAGATCTGACAAGTTAACACTGGTGTAGTTTACTTAAATATTTTATTCTTCTGGCTTTGACCAAGTTTGTGTTTAAAAATATACAGGCATTCCTCAGGTTATGAATGAGATCTGTTCCTAACTGTGTCTTTAAGAATTTGTAGGTAAGTCAGACCAGGTGGATATTGTTCTGATGTAACCTTACCTTCCTGTGAGAAAAAGGCACTAAATGGTGTGATAGTTGAAAGAGCTTGCTGTTAACTGAAGGTTGGCGGTTCAAACCCACCAGCCACTCCATGGGAGAATGATGAAGTAATTTGCTTTCATAAATATTTTCAGCCTTGGAAACCCCGTGAGGCAGTTCTCTACTCTGCCCTGTAAGGTCGCTGTGAGTTGGAATCTACTTGACAACTTTGGGTTTAGTGCAAGATACCCTTTTCAGTGGTTTAAAAGCTGCATGTGCAGCAAGCGAAGATAGTTATGATGAAGAATTTGTTGCAAATGGCTCTGTGTTTGGATTATGTGTAAGTGTTGTTAATTTTTTATTTTAGGAATAAGCTTAAGTCACCAAACAATGGAATCTAGAGATGTTCTAGATAGATCTAGTTCTAAACTACAGATCATTAGACAGCATGTCTTCATATGCTGTTTGAAATAGTATTTTCAGAAATCTTAGAAAATTATATGGTTTGTCAGCCCTGACTTCAGGTAGGAATATACTAAAAAATTCCAAACAGATGAGACTCTATCATGTTTTCCATGATGAAAGGGAAGGAATTGATGATACTATTAGGATTTGCTGTCTAAATATAAGTATGTTTTAAAGATCTTGGTGAACTAGGGGATTTTGATAGGAATAGGTAAGTAGTTCTGCTTTATAGAAGAAAAAAAATAAAGCGTATGATTTGTTTTAGTTTTTGTTAAGAACCAGATCGTAGGAAAAAAAAGACATAGTTTTTATTTTGGGGAGGGGGAAAGAGTGGGGAGAAAAAAGTATAAATAAAAACATCATAAGCCTTGAAGACTAGAATCTTCAAGTAAGGAAGAATGAGAAAAGGCAGAGGAAAGGACTACAATTTTATTTCATATGATATCTTTGTATAGTTTGGGGCTTTTGTAATGAAAATAAGTGATTTGGCTGATGTAATTTTTTGTGCATTTTCACTAAAGAACCTATGAACCATAAACCAAACTCATTGCCTTCAAGTCGATTCTGACTCATAGTAACCCCTTTTGTATTTCCGAGGCAGTAAATCTTTATAGAAGCATTTTGCCCAGTCTTCCTTCTGTGGAGTGGCTAGTGGTTTTGAACCAACCTTCTGGTTAGCAGTCAAATACCTTAGCCATTATGCCACTAAACCAAACCAAAAAACCAAACTCACCGCCATCTAGTTGGATCTGACTCATAGTGACCCCTCCTTAGGTTTCTGAGGCATTATCACTACGGAAGTAGATTGCCCAGTCTTCCTTCAGAGGAGTGGCTGGTGGGTTTGAACCATCAGCCTTCTGGTTAGCAGTCAGATGTCTTAGGCATTGGGCCACCAGAGCTCCTTAAACAACTGTACTCTTTCTGTTTTAATCATGTTCATTTTATCATCATATCTGCTCCATTCCACCTCACAGAATATTTGGATATAAAAATCACAAGGTAAAGGGTGAAGAAGTGGTTAAGCCTGAGCCATATTTACTGAGTTTGAACTTGAGTTTACTACCGGTAGTGATCTTGGCCATGTTATTTAACCTCATTGTGCCTCACTTTCCACATCTATTTGATGAAGACAATACTAGTTTTTGCCTCATAATGTTGTAATAATTAAACTAATATATTCATGGCTACTGCGTGGTATATAGTAACACCTTTTATGTTAGTCCTTGTCATCATTGTTAGAATTCTGGTAACAAAATCAGCTAACATAAACCCGTTAAGATGTTAAAGAACGTAGTTGCTTTTCTCTTTCATTGGCATAAATTTTATTTAGAAAATCTGGTCTTTTGTGCTTTATTAAGTTAATTTATGTGTAGTCACAGGGTTACAAATATAGAATCATCTAGAAATATTACTGGCAAAGTTGTTAAAATTTTAATAGCTTTCTTAATAAGAGATACAGCAGTTAACCTGCTTGCATGCAGTAATAAAAATGGTCAGAAGAGGGTGCTGGTGCTTCATAGGTGAGCCCTGCTTCCAAGTTTAGCCTTGGAAGGAGGCGGCAGGTGTGTGAACCAGAGAACCAAGCAGTTGGTTAATGGTAATGCAAACATTTAAAAGCTTGTCACAGCCTAATAAATGACTTTTTCCCATTGGCAATCCATCCTTCTCTTTGTACCCCTCTCAAATAATGTTCTTATTAGCTAGGTCTCACGCAGATGGGCTTGTGATTGGTTTCTTATACCATAGAGAATAAAGGCTGTATTTGTGGTCACTCTTGAATGGCTTTTGTATATGTTTTTAGCCATTATGGGAGTAGCTGGGTCTCAGTGATTACCCTTGTAAGTTACTAGGACAACAACTCTAAGTAGCCATCTCATTCTAAAGGATAGTAGTGGAAAAGCTGAAAAACCTTTTGAATTGGAGATTATTATCGGCATTTACCATTTTTTAAAAAATTAGCATATAACAAGTTACTTTTTTTTCCAAAGCATCTTTTTGACGTTAGAACCCAGTAAAAGGCAATTTGAATCAACCCTGTAAAAGTTCTAATGTATTTCTACATCGAAAGAAATACTCTGTAAAGAGTTTAATAGACTGCCATCATTCTGCCTTATGTTCATTTTTTTTTTCATTAATATTGCATAGTTGACACCCTCTGTTTCTTATACCTTAACTCATAGCAGCCTGAGGTAAACCAGATGTCATTAGATACCTATGAAGTCTTAAAACTTTTTGATATTCTTCCCTAATACCATAATTCAAATGCATCAATTTTTCTTCAGACTTCCTTATCCATTGTCCAGCTTTCATATGCCTAAGAGGCCTCATGTACACCTTAGTCCTCAAAGTGACATGGTAGCATTCATATAAATTAAAAATACATATGTATGGAAAAATGACTCTCTATATTTCTAAGTTATATACCATAGTGAAGAATTACCTTTACACAAAGAAAGGTCTGGCCTTTGTCCCTGGTTCCTGGGTGGTACTCTTTAAACGTTGTAATTTCCTGAGCAGTTGGAGTGTGTTTATAATTCATGGTGGGCCCCTCTGTAATTTAAACTAACTAAGGTGACTCAGGATAGGGTCTGGCCATACCATAAAGTCTAACCATGTGATTAGGGGTTTGTCGCTTTAACATGGTATCTGTCTGACCTCCAGGGATGGGAGCTGGAGATCAGTCATGTGGCCAGTGGTTCAGTAAGCATGCCTACAAAATGAAGCCTTCATAAAAATTCTTCCAAGGCTTGGGTGAGCTTCCCTGAATGTACACTGTTCTATATACTCAGAAGGCAGTTTTCCAGGAGGGTAAAGAAATTTCTTGACTTCACAGAGAAAGGATAACAGAAGCTTTACATTTGGGACCCTCCCAGACCTCTCTCTCTATTTCTCCCTTTGGTTGGTTCTGATTTCTATCCATTGCAATTATAAAACTGTAATGATAATACAGTGAGTTCTCTGAATCATTTTGGCAAATTATTCAATCTGAGGGGGTAGTGGGAATTTCCAGATGTGTAGCTGGCTGATTGGAAGTGAAAGCGGTCTGGGGACACCTGAACTTGCATCTGATGTCATAAAGGGGTATTGGGAGCCCTGAATTTGTAGCCAGCTGGTCAAAAGTGAGCATGGCTGGAGACCTCTGTGTTCATATCTAGTTCTCTGAATTTATGTTGAACTGGGATGAGAATGGCCTGGTGAACCCTGAGCTTGCAGCTGCTGCCTGACATCTTGGGCAGACTTGGCAGCTTGGAGGACTGTGTCCTTGATTTGTGGTTTGACTCAACTCCAGGTAGTTGGTGTCAGAAGTCATTTGCATATGAATATTTAAGAACATACGTTAAATACATTAGAATAGCTGCCTATTGAAGGGGAAAATGGGTATGGGGATTGGACATGAGTGGAAAAATAAAACAAGAGTGGAACTTTGCATGGAGCAATTGTAATTTAAATGAATTGAGGATGTGAGTAATTTGATTCTTTGTTCAAGCTTGTAAAGGTTTGGAAGCAATAATTTCGACTGACAACAACTTCTTTTTTATTTTTTCCAAATTTTTATTGTGATATGGGTGAAATTTACAGAGGAAATTTGTTTTCCATACAGCATTTCATAACACATTTTGTTTCATGACATTGACTGTAATTTCCCACAATGTAATAGCTCTCTTCCCACTTCCTCCCTGTAGTTACCTCTTCTCTGTGTCCTTCCCTTCCATGCATTCCTGCCCCTCGAGCTATGTCCCTGTGCAAACTCTGCCCTTCTGTTCTCCCATGATTGATCACTCCAAGGAGTGTGTTTACCTAATATAAATGTTTACCCCATATGCCTGCTTGTTGTTTGGCTGGAAGCTACAGGAGTGAGTTCAGTTCCAGACCTCAAGGGTAACTATGGGCCATAGTCTCAGGGCTTGCATCAGGCTCTATCAGACCAGCAAAGCTGGTCTTTTTTTTTTTTTTTTAAATAATTTTGGGTTTTTTTCCCCATAGTTCTCCTACTCTATCCAGGATCTCTTGACCAATGCCTTTCCAAGTGGTTGACAGTGGTAGCCAGGCACCGCCTAGTTCTTCTGGTCTCATGATCATGTAGGCTAAGGATCACATGGTCTACTAGTCCCTTGGACTAATTGTTTCCATGCATCTTTGGTTTTATTCATTCTTCTTTGCTTTGGATGAGGAGAGACCCATTGTTGCATCTAGATGGCTCCTTGCAAACTTT